TCACGAGCCGGTGTTAGATTCCTTATAGACTTACATATTGACATTTAAATTTAAATTTAAAAAATGCCAAAAGTCGATTCAAAAAGTAAGTAATAAGTTCTTGTAAAAGTGTAAATTTGAATAAAGTAAGTACATACAATTTAATTTGATTTTACATAACGATTTTTGTCATGGTAGAATGAAATCTTGTCTAAGCCCCAATATTTTACCAACCAAACTCCTTCGAATCTTCTTTAATCTAGGTGTCATTGGCGAAATAATCTGTGTACTTAACTGGCACACTTCTAAGCCAAACAAGAAAACAAGAAAATTGAATTGATTTCGAATAAACCCTATAATTAGCTATATTAGTATTTGCATATATGTATAACAAAGCGCAGAGATATTTTTTGTCTATATATGTATAAACACATACACAAAAAATATATATTATAAAAATAGAAAACTCGATTGCATAAAAGCTAACTAAAAAGATGAAAAGAAGTTGACGAAGGAATATAGTATTATGCAGTCGGAGACTCGGAGTGTTTGGTCTCTAGAATATCATGTAGGAATATGCAATAGACCGATAAACACATTACCCTCCTTGCGTTGTGCAGTCGGGTAAAAATGGTTACTTATTAATTTTTTTATAGCTGGACAGATTATAATAGGAAGCTGTGTTGTAAAATAGTGGTTCAGTGAAAAGGATATAGGATAGTTTTTATTACATAGTAGATTTTTATACTGTGTTTAAACGTATATCCAAGTGTGGCATTGCTGTCACCTGTTGTTTATGAGCAATGAGGGAACATAAATATTTTAGAAGGTAAAGTTTTCGTCTACTAAAGGATCTAGAGTGTCGTGGAGCATTTTTATTGAGTTTTTACACCAGTGCTAAAATAATAAGCATGGAGTTTTTAGCAAAATGATTTTTAATAATAATTATGGTATATATTTTTACTATCTTAGTCCTAAAAGAAAGAGATCTGAGGATATTTCATACATATGTATGTAAAATACCATCAAGCAGTTTAGATATAGCTAAAGATACTGCTTTTTTTAACAAGGTCAAAACTAATTAGTTAAAATTAAAAGTAATTGGTTAAAATTAGACATTCTGCAATTGCTTACGTATGTATGTACTAAGTATGTATGACAGTATGTACTCTCTACAGCGTGTACAGTATACAGCGTGTATAGTGTACAGCGACAGTGTACAGCGTGTACAGTGTACAGCGTGTACAGTGTACAGCGTGTACAGTGTACAGCGTGTACAGTGTACAGCATGTACAGTGTACATTCACCCTTATGCATTTGTATTCGACTATTTTTAATTCAGTCCACTCAGTCACGTACCTGGAAATGGGATCACGTTCTAAACGAATAATTATGATCGCGAAAACGTTAAAGAAAAACGCTTTAAATACATCAACTGTAATTTTGTTTTAAAATTAAATGTCGCTCGTGACTTCTCTTTAATCGTCGTATAAAACAAAGTGAACGTGTTTGTTAAAGTTTTTATATATTTAAAGAATTTTTCGAGTGACTATGTGGTATAATTATATAATTTAGTACACAAGTGATGTTAGAGGCACTATTTCATGTACGTAGTAGTGTTTGTAGCATCTTACGAGTATGCCACTCTGCGGACCCAGTATCGTTTTCTACTACTAAATTAGTTAAGAGCGTATCGAACTCGCATGAATAATGGTTCCCGGTAATTTTCTTAATTATTTCGTGTAGTTCTTTAGAATTATATTTTTTTTGGTTTTTTTTCCGGAGATTTTTTACTCAAAAGGCTCAGTGTCTAAGGTTGGTGAAATGCAGATCCTATGTAAAAGTTTTTTTTTAATTTAAAAGTTAGTAAGAGTCATGATGCTCTTCAAATAAAATTGTTTTTAATTCACCAATAGGTATAACACCAAGTTCCCTCGTTCCCTCTAAAATAAATAGATACTTACTCAGGTAGCAATGTGTCAATACTCTCATTTATTTTTATCTATACATATAATAAAATTGTAACTAAGCCGTATCTTTACATTGGATATTTTTTGGAAAATCTTATTGAAATAAACATTATTATCGATACAGAGGCCGAATCTATAGTTTTAGAATTTTTGTCTGTTTGTCTGTCGGTGTCTGTGTCTGTGTGTCGGATTTTCTGTGATGCGGTAAATGTGCGGTATATATATATGATAGCTGGTTATCCGGGTCAACATATAGGATACTTTTTACCGCGGGAATATATATTATTTCTGAGTAAATACAAAAACTGAAATGTAAGAGTATACTAATATGTAAAATCTAACAATTTGGTTTTTGGTCATCGAGCTGCGGGCAATGCTAGTCATGAAATATTTGCTTTATTTTTTTAAAGTATTGGTGACAACTGCGAACCACAGAAGCAAGAAAAAGTCGGCATACTGATGATGTGCCCTGACCTAATTTGGGCTATGGCGGCCACATAAGAGGAGAAACATTATAATGCACATGTTCACTCATTCTATTATTTTGATAAAATCATTTAGACCCGGTCGAAGGGACACGAGTTTTCTAAATACGGTCTGCTACTGTGAACTTTTTGTCGGCCAAATAATTATTTTTGCCTGATTTAGAAGTTAAAAAATTCCGGATCATATGACGGATAATAACCCAAAGTAAGAACTTTAGATAAGTACCTAAAAAAATAAGTCAGGGAACTATCGTTTCGGGAGAATCAGTCTCTCCCGTGACCATGATTGCTGTAAAGCATTCGTAACGTCGGGAACCAAACATCAAAATAAATCCGCGAAATAATCCGAAAAGATAGTTTTATTAAGAATGTCAAATATTCGCGTAAATCTAAGAAAGTATTAAGTAAGGGAATTTATTAAAAAAAATCACGATAATATATACATAATAATATTGTTAGAATGAAAAATGAATGAATTTTTAATTTACCCACTTGGATAAGTTAAAAATTCAAATGAATATTTATCACTATCGTTATAGATAATATATTAAAATAATATAAATTGTAAATCATTTTCAATGCATATAATTATAATCTGCTATCCGTTATGTATTGGGCACAGACTTAGTATGAAAATATTGTCACGCAATCCTCTGTTGTTGTCATAATCATAACGATTTATAGTTTTACTTTGTAAATCGTTTTATAATTTACATGTTTATTTGTATGTTGATTAAAGATATTTTCTATTGATTTTTTTATAGTAGGTACCTAGAAATCCATCCTCATTTTGCTCATGGTTCAGAAACTTGACGAAACTGATCGTGTAATGTGTTAGGATAAAAAGTCTGTTTACTTCTTCGCAAATAGTTTATGGACGCGTATGTAAATGTCTCTTCATAGGTGAAACAAGGTAAACTAACAAAAACTCTTTGGTGTTTATAGTAAGTTGGATGCTAGTTAAAGAATTTTTTGGTCTTTATGAAAATCGCGTTTGCAGAGGGGACACCAGCCGATCTTTGTCTTGGTAATCGCAGAAATATTCTTTTTTTTATATTATATTTGTCATATAAGAATAGCCCAAATTCCTTTCATATTATCATATTCTAATATTATAAAAGAATCTCATAAAATTTCATATATATTTATCGTTATATAAAAACAAAACTATAATAACAAAAATATTAATTAATAAGAATCAAAATCGGTTAAGCCGTTTAGTAATTACGAGAGAACATATGATCGGACATACATATATACGAGTACATACAAACATACAGGTAAAACACATAACCCTCTTTTGGACTTCGCTGCAGTCGGGTAAAAACAATGCAGCATTAACACTATGCTATACTATGCATAACCAAATTACAAATTTACATTTAATCTAAGAACTTTCCTGCTATTCGAATTGTGTGCTAATGTTTTTTTAATCCATCACGAACAGATTAGAAGATTTTGTTTATAATAAGAAAAGTTTACCGCAAACTTGACTGATAGCTGACTTTTGTCACGGAAAGGAGGATGAGGTTCGTGGTGGCAATTTTCTTAGCAAATTTTAATTTATTTTAATTTATTTTTATATTGTCTATGCTAAATTGTCATTTTAGAATAAATTTGAACTTGGAATTTAAAGTGGTTTGCTCTCATTTACACTGTCATGATTATCAACTGCTAAGCTACTTTTGTTCATTTAAAAATCACAAACAATATTCTATGTACCTATTTCGAGAATTTAAGTATTCGCTAGCATTTCCGTGGTTGCGCTTGCGGTCTACGAATAAACGAAATAGAATTTGTCATTTATTATTTACTAGCAATTTAACCTCGCTTCGCTCGATTGCGTTAGGGACGCACGACGGACGATACGTTTTAATCCTATATATAAACCCTAATGGATCCTAATTCTTTTCCGAAAATAAAAGTAGTCAAGGTTACTCCTTATAAAATTAGCTATCTGCTAGTAAAATTAACGTCAAAATCAGTCTAGCAGTTTCGGAGATTAGCCGGAACAAACAGACAGACAGATAAAAATTAAAAAAATAATATAATATGTTTTCCTTAAAGGTACCGTATATAATTTCATATGCATTTAGTAAAAAGCTGTTATTTTGACATTACAAACAGACACTTCAATTTTATTTGTCTGTATAAATTATTATTATTTAAGAAATTGGTGTGGTGGTGAGATCGGCCCTTGCTACATAGACCAATTATGATCTTTTGTAGCTCCCTTGAGTAGATTTAGAGTTCTCCACGTGATCCTTTGTCATTTTCAATAGACTCTTCTATTCGCTATTAAAATCCTATTAAATCTGCCGAACAAACAGACACAATTTTTTTATCAATAACTATCATATTAGATAAATATGAAGTAGCTTGTTTTAAAATTATTGATACATAGGTACTTTAATTTTATTTATAAGTATCTAACTGTACTTGGTTACACAAAAGCAGGTATACTAGTTTGTTAAAATATTGCATTTTATTTAAAACAAAGCTATAATAACACTAATCACAGATAAACAATTACCACTAATCGTTCAGTCTTAACAAGTATTTCTCATAACGTAGTTTTAGTTTCTCTCCTTTCTGTTTCGCCATCTCTATTTGTTTCTCGTTCTCCATTGTTTTCGGACTTTTTATGATCTTGTTCTTGGGCTTCTTTTAGAGAGTCTGGTAGTTTTTGATTATTTGTCTCTGGTAGAGTGAGAACAAGCACTCCCGACATGGCCGACATAATCCCGAATACTAATGTAGGCAGGAACTCATAAAATTTCGACTGTAATGAAAAAATAATTAATTCGAATTAATTAGAATTGAATAAATAAGTAATTGTGGGAAATTTTAATAACAAAGAAATAAGCAAACAGTGAAAATAAATAAAAAAGACAATAAGTATAAAATAACTGACGTTCAATTAGTACGATGCCATAATTTGTACAAGAACGATTTATGATGACTAAATTAACACAACCAAACTTATTATTATCATTTTGCTTTGAATGAATATGTATGGAGTGTGTTTTAGCTGGTAAAAATTATAAAAATATCTATAGTTCGATCTAGCAAGTTATATTTTTGATACATAATATTCTAACGTATTATTTGTGCAGTCAATTGTCAATAACGTATAGTAAAAAAAAGTGACGAAAATTCGAAAAACTATATATCCGTATTTCTTTATAAATAATAACTAACAATTCAGAGTACAGTTCTTCATATATATATATATATATATTCGTAATTTCCTTTATTGTAAATAAAGCTATTTATGTTACATATCTTTAAAAAAAACTAACACTACTAACTTAAATAATTTAATTTAGTAAATAATACATCACTATGAAGCATTTATAATAAAAGTTATTTAAGTTATTTGTAGATAGGTAGAAGAATAAACATTTTTACATACCAATAAGGGTGTTTGAGGAGCGACCGCAGACCCGATTCGTCCGATTGTTGAGCAAATAGCTAACAAAGTGGTTCTATAATTGGTTGGGAAAACTTCTGCCGCGAAAATGTATAGCGAATTGTATGCGAGTGTGATAAAGAATTTACCGCCGAGATAGAATGCCGTCGACCAATTACCCCCTGAAAGGTTAAATCCATACATCAACGTTAAAATTTAAACACATGTATTTTATATTGCCTCATTTTGTCTATTATAACTACGAGTATACACGCATACCATTAGTATATAATTACTAAATATTGTAGAGATTTTGAACAGATTAGTATATGATTTAAAAGAAATGCATAAATAAAAACAATTACCTATTTAAAAATTCGGGAAATAACCTAATAAAAATATATAATTACCTGGTAAAAATCCATAAGTAATTAGTATAACACCAGTCAACATGAACGCGGTTGCTATGACTCGTTTCCTCCCAAATCTGTCCAAGCAAATTAGCTTGCAAACATTTGCAGGCGCTTCAATTACTATAACGACTATATAATTCAAGTAACTGTTCCCTGATAACTCTATCGCGTTTATAGAAAGACCATAATAGACCAAAGTAGACGAAGTCCAGAGGAAAGAACATGTGAAAAGTCTTTTCCAAATCATTGGTGATAGAAGCAATTGCTTGAATGTTGACTGATTAGTTTCCAAAACCTCACATTTTCTCGCATCTCGCTGTTTCATTGCTTGTTTTTCTACTTGATCGTAATGGTCTTTGGGTACGGTGACGTTGTTAACCTTCTCACATTTGGCAAGAACATTTAGACCTTCTTCGTAGCGTCCTTTGCTAAAAAACCAACGGAAGCTCTCTGTCAGTGACCATAAATAGAAGAATACAAGGATAGCCGGTATATAGATGACTAAGAGAAGGTATCGCCAACTTTGTAACCACCAGGATAATATCGTGACAGTAACTCCTCCAAGGATAAACATTGTATTGAATAGTAGACTGACAAAAACTCTACCTTTAGGTCCTACTAGTTCCAATGCTGAAAAAAGAAAAGATAATTGATTTTATTTGTGCTTATAAAGAGTATTTATAATGGCAATATGTTGCATATCGACAATTGTTTGCCATTTAATTTTACTTTAATAATTTAAATATTGTTTATTTTTTTTTATTAAAATTTGAATAAAGTGAGATAAAAACTAAGTTTTTTTTTCATAAATTTTGTTAATGGTTCGTCATACCTATGTATATATTTTTATAATTTTAAAGCGTAATTTTACACATATAGTACAATATACGAATTTCTTTCTAAAAAATATATTTTTTTTTATTAAATGTTGCTATTGTAAAATACCAAACGTTTTGCTTCATATGTTTTATTAGTATTTCTTTATAAAATAATGTATTAAATATCTTATATAAATGTGCATACAGACATTTTGCAATAATGTTTTTATTATAATGACATATTTTTTATTTCTTGCATATGAGTGTTTCTTAGGTTTTATTTCCATACTGGAATGAATGACGTCAAGTTACATTCAAGTTGTGTATATAGTAATTTCAATAATAATGTTAACAGTAATTCTAAAATTATTGTGTATATTATATTTATTCTGTATCGACGTAATTCCCCTAATGAATTTTGAGCCTCGACCACAATTTGTTATTACTAAAAGCTTTACGAGTATAGTATATTACTATTGCTCTCTATTACTAGTTTTTATCCAAAAACCGAATTCACTATAGAGTAAAAAAATAACTGAACGAGAGTTTTCATTTACTATAGACTAAATCAGATATTTTCGAAGTGGTGCCATCATTTACAATTTTGGTTTTTTATGCGTGAATAAAAAATATAACATTTATACAAATGTATATGTACGTAGAAATATGAAAAAAAATATTCGTAAACGGACTGTCCATATATATAATTTGTGAAAAAGTGTAAATCTCTTAAGTCTAAATTTGTTTGTCTAGCATAATTTGAATACCCAGAAATCAAATCACATGAAAGAAATATTTTGACACATAAAATAAAACTATCTTTTCGGTTTTTATCGGATTTAGTTTGTTTTTTAATTCGATTCGATTTATTTCGAATGCAATTAGCGACCATATGTGCTTTAAAGCATTCGGAGTTCTAAAATCAAACTAAATCGGCGGAAAACTCCGAAAAGGTAGTTTTATTTAAAATGTCAAATATTCGAGTAAATCTAAGAAAGTAATTTTAAGAAATACTAGCATTGCCCACGGCTCCGCCCGCGTTCAGGTAACCAAAAACCAAATTCTTAGGTTTTACATATTAGTATACTCTTACAATGCAGTTTTTGTATTTTTTCTCAAAAATAACATATTTTCCCGCGGTAAAAAGTATCCTATATATTGACTCGAATAACCAGGTATCACCATACCAAATTTCATCAAAATCCCGCCAGTGCTTTTTCTGTGATGGGGTAACAGACAGACAGACAGACAGACAAAAATTCTAAAAACTATATTATATTCGTCCTCTGTATCGATAATAATGTCTACTTCAATAAGATTTTCCAAAAAAATAATTATGTACAGATCCGGCTTAGTTACAACTTGTATAGATTTAGATAATAAAATATATGTTTCAGACACCCTTTTTTAGATTGTTAGCAAGTCATGCATAATAAGTTTAGTCAGGGACACATAAGGTAAAGTCGGTACAAAAAGTGTAATTAGTCACAACTATCCGATGAACTGTTACGGAGACGGTTGAGTGATACTAAAGTTATAATCACGTTAAATTATGATGATTAAAAATCATGGCGAATTACTATTCATAGATAAGGAAGAAGATATGCCTGATGCGGAAGCTGTGGCATTATTTATCTCATCTAGTTCTTTTGATATAGAGATACTTTAACGGTAGTTCCCAACAATCGATCTATCTGTGATTATTCTGACAATATGTTGGGACATTAACACACAGCACCATCTAGTTCCATAGTAAGCTACGAAGCTTGTGTTGTGGATACCAGATAGTTGATACACTACATATATATATAACTTTAAATACATACATATTATAAATATAAACACCCATGACTGGAGTACAAATATTTGTGCTTATCACACAAATGAATGCCCCCAGCGGGATTCGAACCCGCAACCGCTGGCATAGCTAGTAGGGTTACTACACACTGAGCCAAACGAATAGCGAATGACAAGCGATAGGATTTGACATAATTTGTATAGAGCTTATGTCAACTTTCTGTCTCTAGTAAGAAATACTTAAGATACTTTTGAACTTTTTAACTGACTTCATAAAGGATGTATTGAGTATCAATTAACTTATTTCGTGTGTGTTTTCTTGTGTGACGTTATAATTGATGCAATATATTTTTCTTAAGAACCAATCGAGTGGTTAATCAAAATAAAAGTTTTTAAGAGGCGATTACAAAATATATACAAGTAATATGTTTAAAAGTAATTTAGGATAAAAAAGTTGCTAAATATTCAATTGTCTAATTAGCAAAAACTAAAAGCTGTAAATAAAGAAATATAGTATAAAAATCTGACTGCATAAAAACTAACTAATAAGATTAAAACAAGTTCATGAAGGAATATAGAATTATGCAGTCGGAGACATACATAATATGTACATCTCGACTCGGATAACCAGGTATCACCATACCAAATTTCATCAAAATCCCTCCAGTGCTTTTTCTGTGATGCGGTAACAGACAGACAAAAATTCTAAAAACTATAGATTCGGCCTATATATCGATAATAATGTCTATTTCAACTGGATTTTCCAAAAAATATTTATTGTGCAGATTCGACTTTGTTACAATTTTATTATATGTATAGATGATATTATATTAAATTCAAGTTAGACGCTATTGTGTCTTCATATAATATTGTGCCTTTCATATTCCACTGACCTCTGTCACTTCCGCGAACCAGTGAATAAGATCTCAGGAAATGCTTTGAGGAAGCAGGCTTAGGTTGATGACTAATATTACGCTTATTGCAATATACATATATATGGTATACCTATATATTATATGATCTTGTCGGTTTGTTTGATATATTTTTTGTTAAGAATAGCATTTTTTATTATATATAAAATATCATATATAAGTTGGTTTATAATAATAATTTTAGCACTATATTTGATAATATTAATTTAATTTTTATTCCTTTCATTCTTCTCATTTGCCTATCACATATGCGAAAATAGTGTTAGTGTAAAACGTCTAATCTTATAATATTAAATGAGCTATTTTTGTATATATTATTATGTGTATACTAGTATATAGATTTATTTCGTGTCTTGGAAAACTAACAATTTGTATCAAATTTTGTATTTATATTATGTTGTGCTTTTAAGTTTATCTATATAGGTCTTTTCTGGAAAAAAAACGCAAATTTTACGTATATCCTTTCGCCCAGCGACCCATGTTCAGTTTAAAAAAAAATTATATTTAGTATAAATTTATAAACTTTTTAACTGAGCAAAACTGAGTCTCCAGACCAAATATGTGTTGTATGAATATAATGATTGTAAATAGGAAAGAGATTTTTACAGATACAGTATCATTAATTATTACCTCTCAATAATATGTGAGTCTCGTAAAATTCTGTTCGAATAGATTATATTTCGATTTGATTTATTATATATTGTACGAATATATAAAATCAATTAAGGGGCTTTTACCCTATTTTTATTTTTAGTAAATGATTACCGCAGTAATTATAGTAATTATATAACAAATTGTAAGTTTTATATAATAATCATAGTAATAACCTTACATCCCAGGAGTGCAGTGTGAAGCATGATTTATTTAACGACCTTAGCAATATGAATTATAGGTCCCGGAACAGGTTTAGTTCAAGTACTTCATGTACTTACTTATGTATTGTAATTTTAAGAATTTTCTAGAAGTAATAGTAGTATACTACTTATCTAATTCTTTTATTATGATTTTTATATTTTTATAAGAAACTTTATTGTTATATACATATTATCTATATGATGACATAGATTTTTTATATAAGGAAAATGGTGATGATGCGATAGTTTCGGATACTTGAAGCGGGTTCAAATCCCGAGTCTTGCGCCATTGATATTTTCATGTTCAAAATTTTCAACATAATTACTATTTGCTAATAGGTGAAGGAAAACATCGTGAGGAAACCTGCATGTCTGAGAGAATCTAGCAAGTTTTCGAAAGACATGTGAAGCGCACCAAAGTGCACTTGGCCAGCGTGGTGGGTCTGAATCCTCTCGCACTGAACGACAACTAAAAATCGGACGTCAATAAGTCTTAATAATCAATACATATATTATGCTTAGAATATTGTGAGCTTGAGAGGCTGATACAAATATTTGTCAACGACAGACATTTTGTAAGTTTATGATTTAGATGAATTGATTTTTCAACTAAATAACTGCAATAAAATAATTACCTTATTTACTTATAAGAATCACAAGAACATTTGTACTTTACAACAACAACAATATACATAGATTTTTGTAATAATTATTTTTTTTTTCTAATGAGGTTTAAACTATTGACGTTTTAATACTGTAATTGCATTTTATGAAGGTTCAGGTACAATTATAAATGATAATTCTTTTTTTATTGACTTCAAAAACGTGGAAGTACTCAATTCATTTAAAATTTTAATTTATTTTAATTTATTTTTATATTGTCTATGCTAAATTGTCATTTTAGAATAAATTTGAACTTGGAATTTAAAGTGGTTTGCTCTCATTTACACTGTCATGATTATCAACTGCTAAGCTACTTTTGTTCATTTAAAAATCACAAACAATATTCTATGTACCTATTTCGAGAATTTTAGTATTCGCTAGCATTTCCGTGGTTGCGCTTGCGGTCTACGACTAAACGGAATAGAATTTGTCATTTATTATTTACTAGCAATTTAACCTCGCTTCGCTCGAATGCGTTAGGGACGCACGACGGACGATACGTTTTAATCCTATATATAAACCCTAATGGATCCTAATTTTTTTCCGAAAATAAAAGTAGCCAAGGTTACTCCTTATAAAATTAGCTATCTGCTAGTAAAATTAACGTCAAAATCAGTCTAGCAGTTTCGGAGATTAGCCGGAACAAACAGACAGACAGATAAAAATTAAAAAAATAATATAATATGTTTTCCTTAAAGGTACCGTATATAATTTCATATGCATTTAGTAAAAAGCTGTTATTTTGACATTACAAACAGACACTTCAATTTTATTTGTCTGTATAAATTATTATTATTTAAGAAATGGGTGTGGTGGTGAGATCGGCCCTTGCTACATCGACCAATTATGATATTTTGTAGCTCCCTTGAGTAGATTTAGAGTTCTCCACGTGATCCTTTGTCATTTTCAATAGACTCTTCTATTCACTATTAAAATCCTATTAAAATCTGTCGAACAAACAGACACAATTTTTTTATCAATAACTATCATATGACATAAATATGAAGTAGCTTGTTTTAAAATTATTGATACATAGGTACTTTAATTTTATTTATAAGTATCTAACTGTACTTGGTTACACAAAAGCAGGTATACTAGTTTGTTAAAATATTGCATTTTATTTAAAACAAACCTAGAATAACACTAATCACAGATAAACAATTACCACTAATCGTTCAGTCTTAACAAGTATTTCTCATAACGTAGTTTTAGTTTCTCTCCTTTCTGTTTCGCCATCTCTATTTGTTTCTCGTTCTCCATTGTTTTCGGACTTTTTATGATCTTGTTCTTGGGCTTCTTTTAGAGAGTCTGGTAGTTTTTGATTATTTGTCTCTGGTAGAGTGAGAACAAGCACTCCCGACATGGCCGACATAATCCCGAATACTAATGTAGGCAGGAACTCATAAAATTTCGACTGTAATGAAAAAATAATTAATTCTGATAAGACAAGTAACTGTGGGAAATATTAATAACAAAGAAATAAGCAAACAGTGAAAATAAATAAAAAAGACAATAAGTATAAAATAACTGACGTTCAATTAGTACGATGCCATCATTTGTACAAGAACGATTTATGATGACTAAATTAACACAACCAAACTTATTATTATCATTTTGCTTTGAATGAATATGTATGGAGTGTGTTTTAGCTGGTAAAAATTATAAAAATATCTATAGTTCGATCTAGCAAGTTATATTTTTGATACATAATATTCTAACGTATTATTTGTGCAGTCAATTGTCAATAACGTATAGTAAAAAAAAGTGACGAAAATTCGAAAAACTATATATCCGTATTTCTTTATAAATAATAACTAACAATTCAGAGTACAGTTCTTCATATATATATATATATATATATATTCGTAATTTCCTTTATTGTAAATAAAGCTATTTATGTTACATATCTTTAAAAAAAACTAACACTACTAACTTAAATAATTTAATTTAGTAAATAATACATCACTATGAAGCATTTATAATAAAAGTTATTTAAGTTATTTGTAGATAGGTAGAAGAATAAACATTTTTACATACCAATAAGGGTGTTTGAGGAGCGACCGCAGACCCGATTCGTCCGATTGTTGAGCAAATAGCTAACAAAGTGGTTCTATAATTGGTTGGGAAAACTTCTGCCGCGAAAATGTATAGCGAGTTGTATGCGAGTGTGATAAAGAATTTACCGCCGAGATAGAATGCTGTCGACCAATTACCCCCTGAAAGGTTAAATCCATACATCAACGTTAAAATTTAAACACATGTATTTTATATTGCCTCATTTTGTCTATTATAACTACGAGTATACACGCATACCATTAGTATATAATTACTAAATATTGTAGAGATTTTGAACAGATTAGTATATGATTTAAAAGAAATGCATAAATAAAAACAATTACCTATTTAAAAATTCGGGAAATAACCTAATAAAAATATATAATTACCTGGTAAAAATCCATAAGTAATTAGTATAACACCAGTCAACATGAACGCGGTTGCTATGACTCGTTTCCTCCCAAATCTGTCCAAGCAAATTAGCTTGCAAACATTTGCAGGCGCTTCAATTACTATAACGACTATATAATTCAAGTAACTGTTCCCTGATAACTCTATCGCGTTTATAGAAAGACCATAATAGACCAAAGTAGACGAAGTCCAGAGGAAAGAACATGTGAAAAGTCTTTTCCAAATCATTGGTGATAGAAGCAATTGCTTGAATGTTGACTGATTAGTTTCCAAAACCTCACATTTTCTCGCATCTCGCTGTTTCATTGCTTGTTTTTCTACTTGATCGTAATGGTCTTTGGGTACGGTGACGTTGTTAACCTTCTCACATTTGGCAAGAACATTTAGACCTTCTTCGTAGCGTCCTTTGCTAAAAAACCAACGGAAGCTCTCTGTCAGTGACCATAAATAGAAGAATACAAGGATAGCCGGTATATAGATGACTAAGAGAAGGTATCGCCAACTTTGTAACCACCAGGATAATATCGTGACAGTAACTCCTCCAAGGATAAACATTGTATTGAATAGTAGACTGACAAAAACTCTACCTTTAGGTCCTACTAGTTCCAATGCTGAAAAAAGAAAAGATAATTGATTTTATTTGTGCTTATAAAGAGTATTTATAATGGCAATATGTTGCATATCGACAATTGTTTGCCATTTAATTTTACTTTAATAATTTAAATATTGTTTATTTTTTTTTATTAAAATTTGAATAAAGTGAGATAAAAACTAAGTTTTTTTTTCATAAATTTTGTTAATGGTTCGTCATACCTATGTATATATTTTTATAATTTTAAAGCGTAATTTTACACATATAGTACAATATACGAATTTCTTTCTAAAAAATATATTTTTTTTTATTAAATGTTGCTATTGTAAAATACCAAACGTTTTGCTTCATATGTTTTATTAGTATTTCTTTATAAAATAATGTATTAAATATCTTATATAAATGTGCATACAGACATTTTGCAATAATGTTTTTATTATAATGACATATTTTTTATTTCTTGCATATGAGTGTTTCTTAGGTTTTATTTCCATACTGGAATGAATGACGTCAAGTTACATTCAAGTTGTGTATATAGTAATTTCAATAATAATGTTAACAGTAATTCTAATTTATAATTATTGTGTATATTATATTTATTCTGTATCGACGTAATTCCCCTAATGAATTTTGAGCCTCGACCACAATTTGTTATTACTAAAAGCTTTACGAGTATAGTATATTACTATTGCTCTCTATTACTAGTTTTTATCCAAAAACCGAATTCACTATAGAGTAAAAAAATAACTGAACGAGAGTTTTCATTTACTATAGACTAAATCAGATATTTTCGAAGTGGTGCCATCATTTACAATTTTGGTTTTTTATGCGTGAATAAAAAATATAACATTTATACAAATGTATATGTACGTAGAAATATGAAAAAAAATATTCGTAAACGGACTGTCCATTTATATAATTTGTGAAAAAGTGTAAATCTCTTAAGTCTAAATTTGTTTGTCTAGCATAATTTGAATACCCAGAAATCAAATCACATGAAAGAAATATTTTGACACATAAAATAAAACTATCTTTTCGGTTTTTATCGGATTTAGTTTGTTTTTTAATTCGATTCGATTTATTTCGAATGCAATTAGCGACCATATGTGCTTTAAAGCATTCGGAGTTCTAAAATCAAACTAAATCGGCGGAAAACTCCGAAAAGGTAGTTTTATTTAAAATGTCAAATATTCGAGTAAATCTAAGAAAGTAATTTTAAGAAATACTAGCATTGCCCACGGCTCCGCCCGCGTTCAGGTAACCAAAAACCAAATTCTTAGGTTTTACATATTAGTATACTCTTACAATGCAGTTTTTGTATTTTTTCTCAAAAATAACATATTTTCCCGCGGTAAAAAGTATCCTATATATTGACTCGAATAACCAGGTATCACCATACCAAATTTCATCAAAATCCCGCCAGTGCTTTTTCTGTGATGGGGTAACAGACAGACAGACAGACAGACAAAAATTCTAAAAACTATATTATATTCGTCCTCTGTATCGATAATAATGTCTACTTCAATAAGATTTTCCAAAAAAATAATTATGTACAGATCCGGCTTAGTTACAACTTGTATAGATTTAGATAATAAAATATATGTTTCAGACACCCTTTTTTAGATTGTTAGCAAGTCATGCATAATAAGTTTAGTCAGGGACACATAAGGTAAAGTCGGTACAAAAAGTGTAATTAGTCACAACTATCCGATGAACTGTTACGGAGACGGTTGAGTGATACTAAAGTTATAATCACGTTAAATTATGATGATTAAAAATCATGGCGAATTACTATTCATAGATAAGGAAGAAGATATGCCTGATGCGGAAGCTGTGGCATTATTTATCTCATCTAGTTCTTTTGATATAGAGATACTTTAACGGTAGTTCCCAACAATCGATCTATCTGTGATTATTCTGACAATATGTTGGGACATTAACACACAGCACCATCTAGTTCCATAGTAAGCTACGAAGCTTGTGTTGTGGATACCAGATAGTTGATACACTACATATATATATAACTTTAAATACATACATATTATAAATATAAACACCCATGACTGGAGTACAAATATTTGTGCTTATCACACAAATGAATGCCCCCAGCGGGATTCGAACCCGCAACCGCTGGCATAGCTAGTAGGGTTACTACACACTGAGCCAAACGAATAGCGAATGACAAGCGATAGGATTTGACATAATTTGTATAGAGCTTATGTCAACTTTCTGTCTCTAGTAAGAAATACTTAAGATACTTTTGAACTTTTTAACTGACTTCATAAAGGATGTATTGAGTATCAATTAACTTATTTCGTGTGTGTTTTCTTGTGTGACGTTATAATTGATGCAATATATTTTTCTTAAAAACCAATCGAGTGGTTAATCAAAATAAAAGTTTTTAAAAGGCGATTACAAAATATATACAAGTCAAATGTTTAAAAGTAATTTAGGATAAAAAAGTTGCTAAATATTCAATTGTCTAATTAGCAAAAACTAAAAAGCTGTAAATAAAGAAATAGTAGTAATAGTAATATAGTATAAAAAACCTGACTGCATAGAAACTAACTAATAAGATTAAAACAAGTTCATGAAGGAATACAGAATTATGCAGTCGGAGACATACATAATATGTACATCTCGACTCGGATAACCAGGTATCACCATACCAAATTTCATCAAAATCCCTCCAGTGCTTTTTCTGTGATGCGGTAACAGACAGACAGACAAAAATTCTAAAAACTATAGATTCGGCCTATGTATCGATAATAATGTCTATTTCAACTGGATTTTCCAAAAAATATTTAATGTGCAGATTCGACTTAGTTACAATTTTATTATATGTATAGATGATATTATATTAAATTCAAGTTAGACGCTATTGTGTCTTCATATAATATTGTGCCTTTCATATTCCACTGACCTCTGTCACTTCCGCCAACCAGTGAATAAGATCTCAGGAAATGCTTTGAGGAAGCAGGCTTAGGTTGATGACTAATATTACGCTTATTGAAATATACATATATATGGTATACCTATATATTATATGATCTTGTCGGTTTGTTTGATATACTTTTTGTCAAGAACAGCATTTTTTATTATATATAAAATATCATAAATAAGTTGGTTTATAATAATAATTTAAGCACTATATTTGATAATATTAATTTAATTTTTATTCCTTTAATTCTTCTCATTTGTCTATCACATATGCGAAAATAGTGTTAGTGTAAAACGTCTAATCTTATAATATTAAATGAGCTATTTTTGTATATATTATTATGTGTATACTAGTATATAAATTTATTTCGTGTATCTTGGAAAACTAACAATTTGTATCAAATTTTGTATTTATATTATGTTGTGCTTTTAAGTTTATCTATATAGGTCTTTTCTGGAAAAAAAACGCAAATTTTACGTATATCCTTTCGCCCAGCGACCCATGTTCAGTTTAAAAAAAAAATATATTTAGTATAAATTTATAAACTTTTTAACTGAGCAAAACTGAGTCTCCAGACCAAAGATGTATTGTATGAATGTAATGATTGTAAATAGGAAAGTGATTTTTACAGATACATTATCAATAATTAATACCTCTCAATAATATGTGAGTCTTGTAAAATTCTGTTCGAATAGATTATATTTCGATTTGATTTATTATATATTGTACGAATATACAAAATCGATTAAGGGGCTTTTACCCTAATTTTATTTTTAGTAAATGATTACCGCAGTAATTATATAATAAATTGTAAGTTTTATATAATAATCATAGTAATAACCTTACATCCCAGGAGTGCAGTGTGAAGCATGATTTATTTAACGACCTTAGCAATATGAATTATAGGTCCCGGAACAGGTTTAGTTCAAGTACTTCATGTACTTACTTATGTATTGTAATTTTAAGAATTTTCTAGAAGTAATAGTAGTATACTACTTATCTAATTCTTTTATTATGATTTTTATATTTTTATAAGAAACTTTATTGTTATATACATATTATCTATATGATGACATAGATTTTTTATATAAGGAAAATGGTGATGATGCGATAGTTTCGGATACTTGAAGCGGGTTCAAATCCCGAGTCTTGCGCCATTGATATTTTCATGTTCAAAATTTTCAACATAATTACTATTTGCTAATAGGTGAAGGAAAACATCGTGAGGAAACCTGCATGTCTGAGAGAATCTAGCAAGTTTTCGAAAGACATGTGAAGCGCACCAAAGTGCACTTGGCCAGCGTGGTGGGTCTGAATCCTCTCGCACTGAACGACAACTAAAAATCGGACGTCAATAAGTCTTAATAATCAATACATATATTATGCTTAGAATATTGTGAGCTTGAGAGGCTGATACAAATATTTGTCAACGACAGACATTTTGTAAGTTTATGATTTAGATGAATTGATTTTTCAACTAAATAACTGCAATAAAATAATTACCTTATTTACTTATAAGAATCACAAGAACATTTGTACTTTACAACAACAACAATATACATAGATTTTTGTAATAATTATTTTTTTTTTCTAATGAGGTTTAAACTATTGACGTTTTAATACTGTAATTGCATTTTATGAAGGTTCAGGTACAATTATAAATGATAATTCTTTTTTTATTGACTTCAAAAACGTGGAAGTACTCAATTCATCTGTATTTTTTGGGTAGGTTTGTATGTTATGCGAAATATTAAGGAATTGTAAGAAATCATATGTATAAATATGAATAGAATTTATCTATGTATTAAAAAAATTACTGCGATTATTTTTATACAAAACTAAAGCTTGTCAATATAAAAAAAAACAGTTGAAAACAGAGAAGAAAAAGGTACTGAACTGTTTTGCCTTTGCCTATTTATACTAGAAACTAATTTATAAAAAAATAATTTATATGTACCTACCCGTAAACTAGCGACTCACGTTGTTACGTTTTAACGTTGAGTATAGATTTCTCAGAGATGAGATATTTTTCCGTAGTAAAAAGTATCTTAAGTATATGTTGACTCGGATAACCAGCTATCATCATACCAAATTTCATCAAAATCTGTCCAGAGGTTTTTTCGTGATGAGGCACCAGACAGACAGACATACAGACAGACAGACAAAAATTCTAAAAACTTTAGAGTAGGCCGCTGTATTGATAATAATGACTATTTCAATAAGATTTTTCAAAAAATATTAAATGTACAGATTCGACTCAGTTAGAATTTTATTATATGTATAGATAAAACTTCAGGGTTGGTTCCAATTAAAAAGAAATCCATCCATTTTTAAGGGTGAAAAAATAATTACTTTCAAGGGATTTTGAGGCGTACTTTTTTTTATAAGTATTTAATGATACTAGCTTTATCAGAGTTTGCTACTGTACTATAGGATTTAGCTTCATTATCCTTTACCCTACAAATAAAATGGGACTCGATCTCAAGATCTTTGCAGCCCTTGCAGCAGTAGTGATAGTTATTTATTAGACCAATGAAATAGGTATATATTATATTCTACGCACCTAAGTGAAGCAAGGGTAAGTCAATGACTATGTAGGTGCGTCCGTAGGTTCCTTTGTAATTATAATATAACTAGCGACTCACCCTCTCTCCACTCGGGTTCATCCCTAGGTACATTTTAACGGTTAGTATAGATAGATATTTTTCCGTAGTAAAAAGTATCCTATATGTTGACTTGGATAACTAGCTATCACCATACTAAGTTTCATCATAATCCGTCCAGTGGTTTTCTCGTAATGTGTTCCCAGACAGACAGATAAGACAATTTTTTAAAAAATTAATAGTTTCGGTCTCTGTACCGATAATAATGACTATTTGAATAAGCTTTCTAAAAATATTTAATGTACAAATTCAGCTGAGTTAGAATTTTATCTATATATAGGTATATTAATACGTGAAGCAAAAACTTTGTACCCCTTTTTATGAAAATTGCACGGACGGAGGAGTATGAAATTTTCCACACTTATAGTTTATATGGAGAAGGAGTGCAGAATGCTAATATTTTTTTTAAAACTATGCATAAAAAATACATTATATCAATAAAAAAAAACATTACACACACTACCATGTATTTGACACACACACGCATATATACACTTTTGTTTATTGATTCGATCAACAATACTACTGTTGATCAAAGGTTTATTGTTAAGCTCTGTGGTCAAATTGAGAATTATGTATTAATACGTGGAGCAAGAACTTTGTATCCCCTTTTTTCTAAAAAAAAACAATAATTATCATGGTCGAAGTTCGACCACTCGGCGACCTCTAGTTACTATAGATATGTATAGATGTGTATCTATACATATCTATAGTAAGCTACCTGTGTAGGTAGCGCTATCTTTTGACACAATTTAATTACTAGCCTATGTGTTTTATTGCAAATAATGACCTATCTGGGTATTAAATTTCATCCAAATCTGTTCAGACGCTTAAGCGTGAATGAATAACACATACAAATTCTCACATTTAAAGTAGTATAATGATACGAACTACCCAAGTGGGGTGACTTTAAATGATATAATTTACCAATAACAGAAGTCGTTTATCTCCTTATAATAAATCTGGTTTATTAGGAAGCCTACATTTCTGTATTATTGTAATTAACTAACGCATTCTTATATCTAGGAAGTACAAAAGTGCGTTTGATTGTTCCGCGTTGTAATAGCAACTTAAACAAATAACAAATGATAAATATTTGCTTGAAGAAAATATGTTTGCTATTCAATTTAAGTTTTAATTAAAATTAACGTCACACTGCTAGGGAAGGGCCTTTATTTAATGCGATAGGGAGCAGGTTATCGTCCACCACGCTGGCCAAGTGCAGGTTGGAGGACTTCACATATATTTTAAAACTAATTTGGTTCTTTTAGATATTTATAATCTATACATATAATAAAATTGTAACTAAGCCAAATCTCTACATTAGATATTTTTTGGAAAATCTTATTAAAATTTTTATATTTAGTGGTTTTTATCTTATAATTAAAAATGCAAAAATATTTTAAGGTAATCTTATCAAAATCATTATATTATGTACTTATAAAAACAAAGTGCATGCCAGACTCATGTGAAGGTTGGTCCGAGGAATTTAAAATTATAATCGTAAGAAGTTATATATCTATCTATTTATCATTTTAACTAAGGCAAATAAGTAATCCTATACATGTTCCGTATTAATATCACAACTACGGAAGCTAAACTACAATGAATTTCGTGTTATGTTATATATAACACATATATTTGATATGAATACAATATATAACCTAAATAACTTACCAAGAACAAAGCAGGCAGTATACACTCCGCCACCTAACGCTGGTTCCAGAAATTCCAAAACGATGAACATTTCGTAATTGAGTGAGAATGCTCGTATCACTCCAAACACACCATTTGCGACACTCGCAAATACCAAGGCTAGTTTTCGACCGAACTTGTCTGATATCAGACCAGTTAGTGGTATGGAGACGAAGAAGCCTGCGTTGTGAACTGTTCCTACGAGCGATCTCTTCCAGTCTTGACATCCGAGGTTAAACTGAAACAAATATATTTTAAACTAGGTGATTCTTTAAATTGACATAACTTTTTATTTATGAGCCTTTTGAAATGAAACAAGTGTTAAGTGAAGATTACCATAATACGTTCGTGTTATCAATCGGTAAAGCCGTTTCTGAGATTAGCGTACACAAACGCACAGGTAAACAGACAAAAATTCTAAAAATCATTGTTTTGGGTTCTATTGTACATAGCGATCAGTTACATTTTTATTATAGGTATAGATAATTCAAAGTAATATGAGAAATGGGGAAGAGACTGTTTGGTCTTTGACCGATTTCAAGAATGATAAGGTCCTAAAAGCTTTTTTTAATACTAGCAAGCATAATATCTAAACTATCGTTAAAGCACAATAGAGTATGTGTCTGAATATTAGGTACTGCCTGCACCCAATACCTCGGGTTCGAATCCTGATTAAAGTCGTAGTTTAGATTGACTAAATTGATGTGTATAGAACTTTGTTTCGGCTTAACACCACTCGTCGCTCACTTTCTCAATATCTGTCCATCCCCCAACCCTGAGGATTTACTTCTACCCAGAAGTAGCATTTTTGTATTGTAATTTACGATTAAAAAGTATTAAAATGGTTGTAAATATTAAAATGGGCTGAGTTTCAAAGCTATATGCTACAGTGAACCAACATAAAAAACCAAATTATTTTACCTCGTTGAAATAATTTTTAAATTTTCAACAGTTGAACGATAATTCCGAATGAAACAAATGTACAAAGCGAATAATTACACTTATCTCAGTAATAATCGCGCTTCTACAAAGCGACACTTAACAACAATCAAAGTAATTTTGTATAATATTGTTGATTATAAACATTTTAATATATGCTTTAAATGTACGGACTTATTAGGTTTTTGTATGGACATAATAGAGTCGTATAATTGCATGAAAAGTGACGTCTTCTCTGGACTTCGTAAAGAGAATTTTGGATAATGGAATAATAGTTTTTTATTATGAAAAATTAATTACTTAAATAGCATTTTACATACAACTTGACAAACAATTTTACATGAATAAGACGGTTTTGTTTCGGGGGTCTGTAAAACGTTCATTGGAAAAATGCGCAGTGCATATATATATATATATGAATACCACAATGACAAATAATAAATAGTACCTGGGCCACCGAGCTTCGCTCGGAGTTTTTGAATCAATAGTACAATTTTCTTTAAAAAATACTAAAAACTTGGATAAATACAAAAAAAAAACTAAAATAAATTATACCTTTATATCCCATCGGGATTCGAACCCGGACCCCTATGATTGTCAATCTTGCGCCTTGGCCATGATGCTTATATCCCAGCGTGCGAAATTATGGAACATAATATTTTGCGAGGAATAATGCAAAAGAAAACCGCATGAAAATTCGAGAACACGCGTTTTCCCAGACATAAGACTAATCTAGATCGATTTATCGCCACCGAAACCCCTTATTTACTAACTTTCATGAAAATCGTTGGAGCCGTTTCCGAGATTCAGATTATATATTGATATATATATTTATATATATACAAGAATTGCTCGTTTAATTTATTAGATAACATGTAGTTTTATCAGGAAGTAAAAATAGTTCAAATCAATATCAATAGATGGCATTGTACAATACTTTCTTAGGTTTACGCGAATATTTGACATTTTGAATAAAACTATCTTTTCGGATTATTTCGCGGATTTATTTTGATTTTTGGTTGCCGAAGTTTCGAATGCTTTACGGCAATCATGGTCACGGGAGAGACTGAGGTGTTACATGTCTCGAAGGTATAGTTGTTACAGACAGCCTACCCAGAAATAACAAATTGAAAAATTGCACCAAGTACCTCACAATTTTTATAACTTTAAACATTTTGATAATTTTAATTAGTTAATAAAATTATAATTTTTTTTTAAATTATAAAAACATTTTTATATATTATAAAGTTTTATGGAGGTCCTGGGTTCGAGTTCCGGGTCAGGCGGGCAGGTAGTTAGCGTTTTTTTTTGTAATTTTCTTAGTAACTGCCCGGAGTTGGGCACAGAGAGCCGTCGGTTCTGTGCCTGAACTCTCACAGGTCATGACTCGTGGTTATTCTTGACGTATTAATTTATTTTCAGAATCTAGAATATTCTGCACAAACTTCTATAATGAAATATATGTTTTGAATTCGATTCATGTACCATCCTTGAAAAATCGATCCTCTGCTTACAATAGATACAATTGATGCGAAAATTACATACTTATATGACGAAGAGGACATCTAATTCACACGAGTTAGTAAGTCGTGTCAAAATGTTTTAGTGCCGGTGGCTGAAACTTTTCGTGATGTGAGTCATCCGTAAAATTTAACAATGGGAGCTGCGAAATTGCGATTACCACCACCTTGAATTACGTTATTGAAATCTGTTTTATATCTCGATATTATTAAAATGTATAGTTGCTGCTAGCAAAATTTTATTTAGCATTAGAAAATTTTTCTTATTTCACAATCAATGATGTACAGAACACCTTATATTATCACTGCCATAGATATGTTGGTACATTAACACACAACACTATCTAGTTTCATGGTAAGCTACGAATGAGGCACGTGTTATGGATACCAGATAGTTGATACACTACACATATATAACTTTAAATACATACATATTATAAAATAAACACCCATGACTGGAGTACAAACATTCGTGCTCATCACACAAATGAATGCCCCCAGCGGGACTCGAACCTCGACCTCTGGCACAGCAAGTATAGTCACTACAAACTGACCCAAACGTGTCGTCATAATTATGAAATTATTAAAATGTATAGAAAATTGTTCTTATTTATATGGGTAATAACTTTTCTCTAGAAGACACACAACCCACAATCAATGGTGTACACATACGCTTTATATTATCGCTGCCATAAACAATATTAAATGACTGTAAAAATATGCGTGTATAATTTTACATTGGTTCTATTGAATTGGTCATTGGCATAAAGGCAAAATAAATTACTGAAAAACTTATTTCAAATATTTAGTTCAAAAAACGATGTAAAAATGAATGACAATGATAAAGGAATTAATATTTTAAATAAAGCTAGCTATCTTTTAGAATTTTTTTGCGGATTTATTTCGATTTTTGTTCCCGACATTTTGAATACTTTACAACAATCATGGTCACGGGAGAAACTGGATGGAGAAAATCAAGTAGAGTCTGTGTCTAGTTTTTATTTATAATATTGCTTTCAATTTGAGCTCATTTTATATTTTATATAATTCATCTTTTATAATAATAAACAAAATATTATAAATGCGAAAATAGAGTAATTTTAGTCTGTCTATCTGTTACGTTTCTACGTCTAAGTCGCTGATTAATTTTGATCAATTTAGATAGAAATAAATGGGACCTTGGAGAAGGACATAGGTTTCTTTATGTTCCGAAAATTACACTTAAAAGGAGTGAATTGAAATTACTAACGTCCTATGTTTTTGTTGCTATAAACAAAGATAAGTTATATATTCGGGTATATATTTATAGGAAATAAAGGCTGATATTTTTTAAATAAAACTCAAGGGAAGCGAGTGCGAGGGAGTATTATAAATACAAGACACCTGTAAAATATAAAATTGGATTTTTTTTCTATTTTATAGGCACTTTAAGTAGATGTTTAAGTCATTTTATTAATTCCAGGATATAACAAAACAATTAGTTCGAGCATATGTTAACACCAGCGGTTAAGGTCAATTTAAAATCGCACTAAGTATAGTTATTTGCAATTTAATATTGCATTATTGTGACAGTGATAAAATATGTAATGGTGAGTGAAAAAATGAATTAAATACACGAAAAAGTTTTCATTTTAAAAATTATTAATGGATGACATGAATAAGCTATTGTACCGCCAACGCATTGTTTTTCGGCCACCAAAAAAAAAATCGAGCCAAAATACGAGTTTTTAACGTCTTACTGCTAGGCACAGGCCTCCCTTCTATACGAGGGGGATTGGGACATAGCTCACCACGCTGGCCAAGTGCGGGTTGCACATGTCGTTCGAAACTTGCTAGGTTCTCTCAGACATGCAGGTTTCTTCAGGATGTTTTCCTTCACCGTAAGACAAGTGGTAATCATGTTGGAAATGATTTGTACATGAAAATATCAGAGGTGCGAGACGCGGGATTTGAACCCGTTTCACTCGGTTTCCTGAACGAGCGCGTTACCACTGGGTTATCACTACTTATATTCTCACTACTATTAAAATATTAAATAATTATCAGGTAGCAGGTTAGTGTATATGGTAGTTCCCATAGCACTCAAGAATATTGATAAAATTATTCGAATCCAAAATATTTTATTCAGCATTCAATTTTTGAATTTTTTTACTGAACTTCATGAGTCTGGTATCAGTTCTGAAATTATATTTATAATTCTTTTTTATACTTTAATTTTCCAGCACTGACCAATAAAGTATATACACAATACATAATATAAACATAGCTTTGGTACTTTACATTAATAAAAACCCAAATTCTGTAAATTTTACGTAAACCACGTACTCGTACAAATTAACACAGGCGTACAAACACACAAACGTTAAATTATTTTTATAAATTAAGTTTTTTAGAATAATAAAGGCCAGTCCAGAAAGAATTTTCAGACTTATATGTTGCATATACATTAAGTTAATTTTTAAGACTGTGCCCACCTGAACCTATTAATGAGAAGTGATATCTATCGTTCGTATTCCTTTGATAATTTTACCATCTATCACTAAGGATTTTTATTAAAGTATCGAGGTTCCCCCGGGAACTATAAAAATTCTACGCGGATAGATGAAAATAGGTTTATAATAAATTTTTAAAGGAAAAAATACTTTTGCACACAAACTTGTGAATAATTTGTAATAATACCAATGGGTCTTATTAGAAATAAGCGTATATTAGCATAATATCTACTTAGTTATCTTACAGTCGCATTGAGTTTCTTTCAGCAGTTTTTTTCAGGACTCTGGCTGTTTTTGACAAACAAAAAAATATGTTTTTTTTTGAAATGCTAATATTGAATAAAGAATTGATAATTTGAATTTAACAACACAATATACATATATATATATATATATATATATATATATATATATATATATATATATATATATATATATATATATATATATATATATATGTATCAATTTTCAAGCTATTTTTGTGTATAAAATACCGTTATTTTTTGCTCGAAAGTATTTATAATCATTTTCTGGCTTATTTTCTAAGTTACAAATTAAATAGAATGTACTTTTAGTTTTGACGTGATTTTACTAAAACAGGTTTTGTATTTTTTTCATAAGGAAAAGTATCCTAAAAATTGATCCGGCTATCACAATTCTAAATTTCAGCGAAATTCAATTAACTGAATTTAATCAAGCAAAAATTAATCATTTTCTACGCTGAATCTATTTATTTTATATTTGTAAATGAAATAAATATTTAACTCACAAAGATTAAATTTGCACTTTTTTCCGGTTTTAGCATTTTTGCATGATTTTCAATATTCATGAGCATTTTTTGAGTCTAAATCGGATACGAAAATATGTTAAAAGTTATATTTTTAATATTATTTATTTGAACATAGATATATAACATTTTACTATAATTAAAATAAGGTATAATTATTAATAGATAAATTGTATGAAATTGAGCTCTAGTAGGCACGACGATACATATGAATGAAAGAAATGTACTAATACTTATTATGCGTAACTTACCGTTAATATGATAAGGTTATAATGAGAATTAATTATAACTGCTTGCTAGCTAAGATGAGACTTGTAATTCTACACAAATTAGGTATTTTTTTGGTAAAATTAATAAATTTAATAAGAAAACTATACAAAAAAGTTGCGATTCGCTTAGATTGAAGAAGATGAAGTAGTTACGGTACATGAAATACCTCACAGTGAAGTTGATAGACAAAGGCTTGGTTGTACTGTTGTTGACTTATTAACTCTACAATTCGTGCAATCCGTTAGAGATATAATATGATCCAGTTGCACAGACAGTTTAACTGTAAATAACACGATTGACTGATTTTGGAAGAGAAGTGCATTTTTTTTAATTTTAACTTTTAGTAATACGTAGAGCACTATTTATCTTTATGTTAAAAAGTTAAATTATATAAGATTTTTAAAAGGTGCTTAACTAGCCATGAACGATTTGTTTTCAGCCGGTAGTATCTTTTATGAAATTATTCTGGAAATTAACCTCTAAAGCTGCTTCTATAAATAGTTTTTATTGATATTTATATTGTTTGTTATGTGGTATGGCTACGAATAAAAAATGGTCTTCGACAAACGAAGTCAGACACATTCTTCTCCACATAAAATAACTTTGATAAGAAGTTAATTATAAAATCTCAAGTTATTTGCAAATCGATTAGTCGACCTTTTCATTCTAATCTCTAAATAATTATAATGACCGATTATAGTAAATATATTATATTATTAAAACTTTACAATAAGTTATTATTTCCTGCTCTAAATTGTAAGCGTACGTAAATTTTCTGACAAAATACGGTCATAATTCAGCCATTTTGTACAAAATATTCACAAATTATATATAGAGTTATTTCTCATTTACCGCCATTTCTATTAGTGAAAACCCTATCAAATTCCGTTGCGTGGTTTAGATGAAGCAAGTGAAGAAACAGACAGACGCGACTTACAGTCAGCGACTTTGTTTTCACAGCCTACTGCAATATGTATAGAGTAGATATATTTGAAAGTAGTTGAACTTAATTTTCATTTCCCATGAAAACAAGAAGTTTTCACCACACTAACTACTAATAGTTTGTAAATTTTAAAATCATTGAAATTTTTGTATGAAGAATAACTTGGTCGAACCAGTTATTGTTTTCCCATGAAAATGAGAGATCTTATTATAGTAAAATAATTATACCTACTAAATAATGATCTGAGTAATAATGATAATTTAAAATCTGTTTAGTACTTTTTGTTTTAAAAGTAAACAGATATAATGACAATCGGACATACAGAAGAACAGACAAAAATTTCGCAATTAGGTATGTGTAATCTTATTGTTTTTAGATATATTTCATATACAGATTTCGCTTTTTTATTCTTTTATTATATACACGAGTATAGATACGCCGATGGTGGTCGTGAATGGTATACAAATAGCAAAATCATACCATTTTCTTTGCTACAACATTTTTCTTTTTTTTTTCTTTACTTTTCACGAGCTCCGTTTATTTTACTGTTTTGGTCTTATTATTGTTTATTATATCCAAATCTATTAAAATAATATCAAGGCTAGTGATGTTTTTAATTTAAAGCTGTACAGTAAAAAGTTTCAATGTATTTTTTCATATGAAGATATATACTTTAATAAATAAATAAATATCTATATGTTGGGACATTAACACACAGCACCATCCAGTTCCATGGTAAGCTACGAGGCTTGTGTTATGAATACCAGATAGTTGATACACTACACATATATAACTTTAAATACATACATTTTATAATTATAAACACCCATGACTGGAGTACAAACATTCGTCATCACACAAATGAATGCCCCCAGCGACACTCGAACCCGCGACCGCTGGCACACCAAGTAGGGTCACTACAAACTGAGCCAAACGTGTCGCCAAGCTTTGCAACTAAGTAGATAAACAATCATGGTATTTGCATTTAAAAACTGTTCATTTAAATTTAATGACAATCAGAAACTAACACGTGGTATTTTATGAAAAATATTTAATTGCAAATTTGACCTTCTTTATGATTTTATCTTATAGCATTAAATGAGAATTTCTTGTATATATGTATGTTTTATCTTGAAAATGCGTCTAACGATTTGGATTAAATTTTGTATTTAGATAAGGTTTCGCTTTTTAAGTTTATCTGTATAAGGATCTTTTCTGAAAAAAAAAAACGCTATTCTTATACCATGCTCGAAAAATGCCGAGCGAATCGTGCTCGCCCTGTTATTTATATTAAGTTTAGATGAGTTAAAATAATAGTATATATTATCTATTCAAATAATTTACATAAAAATTCAAATGAATATTAAGTTTGTAATGTTACGAAAGCCAAGAAACCATGTAACAAAATGAAAATATTTCAAGTAAATATTAGTAATTGACATTTGACAATATATATCTTTCACAACAGATTAACTGTTTATTTATATTGTAAAGTAAACGTTAGAAATAATTTTATTATAAAGGCCAATGTTATTTGTAATGTTCATATTTATTGAATTTCGAGAGGTAAAATTTTATTTATTTATCATCAGTTGGGAAACTTACAACTTTTATAATACACACACATATAATATATATATATATATATATATATATATATATATATATATATATATATATATATAGCTTGATATACTCGTATTTATTGTATTGTTTGTATTGTAGGTTCCACACAGTCGAAGCATACTCTAAATGAGATACAACATATGAATTGTATAGCAGATTATGTATGTATGCTTTTAAAATCACTAGCTCATCTAAATATAAACCAAGCATTTTGTATGCTTTTGTAATTATATTACTTATATACTTATCAAATGTAAGTTCAGAACTCGACAAATGAGTCGAATCTGTATATTAAATATTTTTTTGGGAAAGCTTATTGAAATAGTCATTATTATCGATACAGAGGAAGCGTCACTGGACAGATTTTGATGAAATTTGTTACGATGATGATTGTTAAAATTTAGGATATTTTTTACTGCAGGAAAATATCTCATCTCTGAGAAATCTATACTAACCGTTAAGACGTACCATGGGACGAAGCCGAGCAAAGCGAGGGTGAGTCGCTAGTTTAATTAAATAAAAGTAATCATTATAATATTCGATGTCTGTTCAAATACATTATAAAAATTATGGTCAGAAAATTAATAGGTATTTATTTTTGTTATTAACAATGAAACATGAAGTCATTCTTTAAATTACATTTGGATAGTTTTTAAATTATCTATATCAAAATTAAATTTTTTTTTTTTGGCAAAATTATAACTTCATTATGATGTGGAAATAAAGATGTAGGTATAACTAGTCTATAAGTGGGCTTTGGGATGTTTTGTGGAGAGATTTATGTATGAATGTAAGGTTTGTTGGTCGATATTTACTGTGTATCTACCTTTATATACATAGGTAGAGATAATTTAGAAATACGATGACCAATAGATGAAGTTACTTCGCTACAAACAAATATACAACTGAATATAATTTATAATTTTAAATTATGATTGGTAATTTAAAATTTTATATAGGTTCTCATTATTGCAGGTGCATTCGATTATTTATACTCTATGTTTACCGTCAATAGCTCTTAAGAACAAATTAAGTTTTTTTTAAACACACTTTAATTATCAAAACAAAGTTTGTGTACTTTACGCTTAAGAATATTGAATCAGAATTAAACTTAACAAAACTTAAAGTATTTTTTTTTTATTTTTACTCGGAGAAATCATTTTTCCCAATACAATGCTCTATATGACTTGCTTAGACCATCGAAATGAGCGATTATGACAAGTGCTATGTGATTATATGCCCAGCAATAGACAAACCTTTGCTTAGAAAGAAGAGTGTTTATGAATGTTGTTCTAAAAATTCAAATTAAATAAACTTACCTCCTTGACTATAGAGTGTTCTTCAAAGTAAATATACGAATCGCACTCAATCTCAGTCGACGTATCAAAATAATGTGGGGAGCATGTATCGTTAAGTGATAAACTGGAGGCGCTATAATTTCTAAAAGGCGCGTATCTTAAACACTTCGCCGGGGTTCCATCTTCTAAGTGTGGGATTGTGAAGTTTACTTCGGGATCTTCGCATTCTGGTACTGAGCATCTGAAGAATTGAATAAATAACTTATATATTAAATAAAACTATCTTTTCGGACTTTTTCGCGAATTTATTTTGTTTTATTTTTTTGACAAATTGTAAAAAATTATAATAATAACAGCTAAAATTAAATAAATTTTATTGCCATATCCAATTATAAAACTTATAATATTTAAAAAAAAATTTAGAATCATTGTAAAGGTGTTTTGGTGCCATTTATTTTATTTTTAAAATAATTTTGTAAATTTTTGGATAAATGATTGCTGTAAAGCAATCGAAACATCGGGAGCTAAAAATCAAAATAAATCCACGAAAAAATCCAAAAAGATAGTTTTATTTAAAATGTCAAATATTCGCGTTAAACGAAGACATCTATTAAGTAACTTATTATCTTAGTTTTTACCCACTCTATCGTAAATCTCATTAAACTAATCTATTGATCTAGTGACTAATTTATATGGTTACAGGTTTTGGGTTCGAGTCCCGTGTGAGGTCAAAAGAGTTATTCGACTTTTTTGTCAAATGATGCTCAGTGGCATTCTAGTGCTCGGTGATGTAACCTTGAAAATTGAGGAGACCTTGGCTCGCGCTAAATCTATTAGTCGTGTTTGATTATGCTACCATCAGCTAGTGAGAGTATATAGAAAAAAAATATCGATATTTCCTTTCGTAAGTATATATAGATAAAACATTTTGTGAGTTTTATTTTTATACTGGGTTAATGTAAATGAAAATTAATTAGTCTAAAATACATAAATAATCTAAATTTTAGAACGTTTTTGACGTTTATTACTGTAGTTTCTTTCCTCAATTGCTGTTACGGCCTATCTAATAAGTTCTTGGTTCAATTCCCGTACAAGGCAAAGGTTTTAAATATTTATGTGTAATATTTTTATGACTCATGCAAATAAATATATTAACAAATTATGTGATAATAGTTTTCATCAGGAGAACAGAGTACGAGTAACTTTGATATGAAAAGAGATTTTATTTTAATACTTCTTTTTGTTATTTTAAAGGATTGAATTTTAAATACGTCAAATTACATGTTTGTTGCATTTGCTAAAAGATATATTTCAAGTGTAGACCAGATAAATATTATTATGAAATAAATTTTAGAAGTATTCAATATATGAACTGGAACTACCACGTAGTATATTTAGTTGTATATTTAGTGCTGCGATCCTTACTACGCAGACGGAGCCGGAGGCAAACGTATAAGAGAAGTGTGACGAGCGTCTGTATGGCTTAGAACATGTCATTTTATTAAATAATTTAGGAGATAATAAGAAATGACAACATATGGCGAGTTGCGCTTTGAATCGAGAGCGATTCTCTAGTGATTTTCATATTCATACACGTTTTATACGAGTACTTGTTAATAAAAAATTGCGTATTTTACCAAATTGAATATTTTATTTAAAAATAACACGATTAAGGTATTTTGACAAACAAATAAAAAAATTAAAAAAATGATAAATCGGCCAAGTGCGTGTCGGACTCGCACATGAAAGTTTCCGTAGCATAATAGATTTTTTTTAATTTGCATGGCGGCCTTTTTGAAATTCGCTATCTTGGTATTTTATTATTACATTACATTTACACTCTTTGAAAATTTCAATTCTCTACTTATCAAAATAATGTGGGGAGTATGTATCGTTACGTGATAAACTGGAGGCGCTATAATTTTTAAAAGCCGCATATCTTAAACACTTCGCGGGGGTTCCACTCGTGAGATACAGCCCTCTGACAGACGGACGGACGAACAGCAGAAGCTTAGTAAAAGGGTTCCGTTGGCACCCTTCGGGTACGGGACCCTAAAAAAATATAGGAAATCCTTTAAAAAATATTTCGTAAGCTAATATTTCGTGATTTCTTAGTTTTATGTAATCATAAAATATTGATCTATTATCGTTTCATCAACATTTAATAAAAAGTAACATTTATTCACGTTCCTATGTGAAATGCAACAGAAACTATCTTTTTCGTAAACTTTATCAATTTATTGTACAATTTTTATCATGTATTTAAAGAAAAAACTAAATAAATTTTCTCGAAATGAGGTAATAATAGGTTACATGGCATAATGTGTAGAAATCACTCCTTAAAACTAAAATAAAAGTCACGTAAAAATTACTTGAGTAATAGAATAAACTAGCGACTCACCCTCGCTTCGCTTGGGTTCGTCCTTTTTTTGTTTTAACGGTTAGTATATAATAGATAGACTATATATTATATGATATTATCTATATATAGCCTTCTTTAATAAACGAGCAATCTAATGCAAAAAGAATTTTTTAAACCGGATCTGTAATTCATGAGATTAGCGCGTTCAAACAAACAAACAAACAAACTCTGCCTCTTTATAATATTAGCATTAGATTATAAATTACTAAAATATATTTTGTCTTTGTATTATAATAATTAATTGAACTAGTGAAGCGCGAATCGAATTTGCGAAATTAATTTTGTAAATTATGGGAATACGATGAGTTTTTATTGTAAGAATCCTGAAAACTATCTACTTTCAATATAAAGATTTTAGTCTTAGTAGTATCAGGAGTCAAGGGCTAATGTTTGCTTTTCAAGCATTTTTTTTTATTTTAAGAAATATTATTTATTAACAATATATAAAAATATAATGTGAGGGAGGAGGAAAAATATAATATAATATAATTTTAAGCAGTATAATTACTGCTTAAAATTCGAAACCCTAAAACAGACATTTAAATTCTCTTTTGGGATAATTTTACGTAAAAATTACCCTGTCAACCATGGACTGGTCCACCATGACTCCGTTAAGTTTTTTAAATCAGGCAACCCTACAAATTATGTATTTAATATACATCATCAATAACAAAGGCTTAGCTATTTACAGTGTAATTAATGGTGATTTGTGGGAAAAATAAAATCAATTACAAAATGTTATGTGAACCATTTCTTCTATGAGTTACGACAAACAGCGTAATATTGACTCATATGTTGGCTAGCTATAATGTTACTATTTTAGTAAAATTAATAAAATGCAACTCGATATTTAAAAGAGCAACTGTTGAGTGTCTCTCCGGCTCTTCTCAGCAGTACTGCTTTCTGAGCCGGTGGTAGGTTCCTCGCGGACTGACTAGACTGAGGTTCTTCAAATTAAATTGAAGATTCAGTGTTTTTATAAGTCTTATATAAAATTTAGTTTCATTTCATTTTAAATATACAGACAGCGGGCAAAAAAAATGTGCTAGTTTGATTGTCAATAGAATAAGCGATAGCGGTCAATAGACAATTTCTCACTGCTACAAAGACCTATTTTTTTTTATTTTTTATTTTATTGATTTAAGGTCTACCAGCAGTTTTACAATTATTTAATGATGATGATGATGTTCCCTGACCGATTCCGGCCACGGCGGCCAATCTCATTGAGTATTTAATACTAGCACTATAATTAATATCATAGATAACATTGGTAAAGTGTAAATCTATATTAAGGTAACAACATGCTTCAGAAATACTACAACAAAGAAGAAATATTATACAGAATAACTTTGAACAAACGAGCAGCTAAATGTCTAAAGACAGATTGTTGCGTTGAGCAGGATACAGAAAAAAAAGTTTGATTGTCAATATTGTATTATAAATGGGATCTATTTGTATAGTTATAGAAATGTTAAACTGAGACACTTAAAATAGTAATATTAAATTTAAAATATTCTTAAATATAATAAAGTATTATATAACTTACCTGTATTTCAAATCCATGGCTTCAAAATTATAAACCGATGAGTACATTCCCGCTAACAGCACAGGGAACAATATTAACATGTAATTGTATATATTAAACTTTCCAAAGGGTCCTAATATTTGCAATATATCGTCCACAGTCACTTCGCTCTCCTTATTTTTCTCGGGATCCATTGTAATTTAATTGAATTGGTTATTTATTGAGTAGAGTTTATCGCATTATTTGATGGACTGGTGCGGCAAATACACAACGCGATAGGTTGGTTGTCGAGGGTATAGTGCGCGTGAGTCGGTGATTTCATTACTTTTATTACTTTTACTAGTTAGATTTTTCATTGCAATCGTTTCCTAAAGTCAGGGACGATTTTTGTAGTTTTCAATGTTTACATCATTTGTGTTGCTTCATTAATAAAACATTGTAAATTGTCTAACAATTATGCTGTATTTTCATCTATATGTTTATATAAAACCAAGTCGGGTTTGTAACAACACTTATAACTCGGGAATTACTGGACCGATTTTATGATCTTTGTTTAATTTGTCTGGATCTTTCTTTGTTTTTGTTGGATTTCTCTTCACGTCGAATAGCAGAATAACTATTAAAAATCAGGAAAAAAAGAAATTCAAAAAATGTCTAAACAAACCTAGGCACGAACCTGAGCGAAGTGACGATGAGTCGCTAGTTATTTATATGAAAATTCATAATTTTTTATCCGTAACTAAAAAGTTTACGAGTTCAGTACGTAATTGAATTTAAATATTCTTTCCTTTTTTATGTAGCGTCTACTTACGTAGTAGATATTTTATTTCATTGTAGGGTTTGAACAAACATTTATTTTGGCCCTAAAAAAATTGAACCATTGACATGCGTGTGGTTTAAATAAACGTGAAATATTTTTTTTAATCTTAATTGCTCTTAAATTAAGCCTATATGAATATATTTAATGTAATTTCTTATTGATTAAGAAAATAATTTTTAAAATGTGCAAAGATAGGTGGGAAATTCAAAGTAGTTGAAACGAACGCCATTGGTCATATTGAATATGACGTCAAAGTATTATCATAACAGAGTGATTAGCGATTTTGTCGCTACAAACTAAAGACGTCATTTTTCAATGCATATAATACTTTGACGTCACAAATGGTGGGCGCTTAAAGTATGCGTATCGGTATGATATTTTTTTTTTATATTAAATTATAATTTATTGGAGCTGGATATATTTTTTACAGTTATGTAATAAAAAAAACCAGACATGTTTTCTATTGTCAAAAACTAAAAAGCTGTAAATAAAAAAATATATTACAAAAATAAAAAACTCGACTGCATAAAAGCTAACTAAAAAGATGAAAACAAATTGACAAAGGAATTAGGTCCCCCTTTGGGTAGAGTGCCCAATGGAAAAGCCCAGGGCCCCGCGATCAACCGGGGACCCGGCCTGCCATCAAAAAAAATCGTCCTTTGCAGCCGCCGTTACTTTCTAAGCACTATAAGTTTCAATGATAAAATAATTGATTTGCAGTGCGATTTACAATAATATTATAGCCACTAATTTATAAAAACTAGCGGCTCACCCTCGCATCCCTCGGGTTCGCCTCTAAGGAAATAAAAACAAATCTATCCCATGGGAACCGTACATTTTTCAGGGATAAAAGTAGACTATGTATTATTCCAGACTTATATTTATTATGTCTCTGTGCGAAATTTTACCCAGATCCGTTCAGCCGTACTGGCGTGAAAGAGCAACAAACATCCATACTCACAAACTTTCACATTTGTAATATTAATATATATATATATATAATACAGATATAATAATACGGATTACTATTATGTTTCTTTTATGAATTTTATATAATTTAATTAGGTTCAATTGAACATTAAAAGAAATTCAATTTGCCAACTATCAAAATACGTAAAATGCTCGTCCCACTGCGGCAATGTTATAGAATTATTATTTAATTAACATACTTATCAATAATTAGCATACTAATCAATAAACGACAAGTCAAAAACCTAACCAGAGTAAACTAAATGCTAATATTTTGTATTTCGTGATATAAAAATGAAATATTTTTTTAATACATCAATTTGTTTTAAATACGCTCTGACAATCTCACGCTTTTTCAAATTGTACTCAAATTATGGCGCACAGTAGGGTAAAGCGGCGAAAAAAAATTTTTTTTTAGCTTTGGGGCTAGAATTTTTGTTCATAAAAAAAACAAAATTTTTGAAAATAAATAAAAATTACTCAACAAAATTTTTTGTTTGAATGGAATTTTTTTTTACTGATCATCTGTAAAAAAAGTCATGAATTGGTATAGTCATTTTCGTTGTTACGATATAAATTATTTGTGTTATTACGAAAAACTTGAAAATGTTATTACGAAATAAATGAATTAAATTAATTTTCTACCCAGCTTTCACTGTGGCTATAAAGGGGCCCCGTGATCCTTATGTACTCAGGGCCTCCAAAAGGTTAAAGAGGGCCCTGGAAGGAATATAGTATTATGCAGTCGGAGACATATGTACATGTTTTAGAATAGCTGCGTGTGTGTATGTCTCCGACTGCATATTACTTTGTTCTTTCGTCAACTTGTATTCTTCTTTTTATGCAGTTCGCTTTTTATGCAGTCGGGTTTTTAATTTTTGTAAATATTTTTCTTATATAATAACAGCACGTGTCTTAAGAAAATTTTCTAGGGTTTATCAGACATGCAGGTTTCCTCACGATGTTTTCCTTCACCGTAAGACAAGTGATAATTGTGTCAGAAAAGATTCGCACATGAAAATATCAAAGTTCGAGATCCGGGATTTGAACGCGCTTCACTCGATTTCACAAGCGAGCGTGGTACTGGGCTACCACTGTCTTTAAATGACAGTATAAACATGCAAATTGACCTGAATTGTTGAATATTGCGCCTGCGAAAATAATTTTAGCAATATAAGATTCTATGTAGGCCTTATTCCAAAATAAATGCTGTATATTTTTCTTTCATTTAAAAAAAAAGATCGATATTTATATAATTAAATAGGCCTTTTAATTTTCCGTTATTAACACAAAACCATCTTTGTTTGCATAACCAATTTCACTTTTATTTATTACACTTCTGATATAAGTGAAACTACATGCTTAAATCAATATAATCTATATTATATATAATAAAATTCTAACTGAACTGAATCTGAACATTAAATATTTTTTGGAAAATCATATTGAAATAATCATTATTATCGATTCAGGAGCCGAATCTATAATTTTTAGAATTTTTGTCTATCTGTTTATTTGTCTGTCCGGGAACGCATCACGAGAAAATCACTGGATAGATTTTGATGAAATTTTGTATAATTATTCAGCTGAATATCTGTGTCAACGTATAGAATACTCTTTACTGCGGAAAAATATCTCATCTCTGATAAATATATACTAAACGTTAAAAAGAGGGACGAACCCGAGCAGAGCGAGGGTGAGTCGCTAGTTCATTATGTATTAAATATAAATCACTAGCGACTTACCCTCGCTTCAATCGGGTGCGTTACTAGGCTTAAATGGTTTAGGAAAGTATGAAAGACATTTTTTTTTGATCAGGGTTTTGTAGGCTTTTACGGAATAAGCCACCAGAGTTTCATCACAATCTGATTAATGGTTTAGGAACGCATAGAGAACAAACATATGAACAATCACTTTTATTTATATAGATAAGTAGCATTGTCCGCGGCTCCGCCCGCGTTCAGATGACCAAAAACCAGATTCTTAGGTTTTACATATTAGTATACTCTTACATTGTAGTTTTTGTACTTTTCCTCAGAAATGAGACATTTTCCCGCGGTAAAAAATATCCTATATGTTGACCCGGGTAACCAGCTATCACCATACCAAATTTCATCAAAATCCTTCCAGTGGTTTTTCAGTGATGCGGTAACAGACAGAAAGACAGACATACAAAAATTCTAAAAACTATAGATTCGGCCTCTGTGTCGATAATAATGTCTATTTCAATAAGATTTTCCAAAAAATATCTAATGTACAGATTTGGCTTAGTTACAATTTTATTATATGTATAGTTGTTCTAGCGACGTCCTACACTTTGCGTATATGTAGTTATCACTTGAGCATAGCAACCGTCTTTTGGTAAGGTTGAATGTACCCCAGATGGTAGAAGTTAAATAAAAATTTGTAAATATAAGACTAAGGAATAATATGACCTTTTAATAAAAAAAATCGCATGTTTATTTTAAATAGAGGCTTATAAGTTATTTGTTACACAAACTTAATAAAAAAACATATGAACTCATTATCTTGGGACAATTTAGAAAAGTGGCAATTTAGATTTATCTTTGTCATCTCTTTATTGTACGAGTATTTCTTAGAAACAATCTTCAATCAAAAACATGTCGTAAACTTTTTACATATCACTGTAGTCTGTAAAAAGATAACTAATCGATGTTTCTTTGAATGGAGGAATCGAGAGAAAGATTTACAAATTAAGCTAAGTGCACACTTGCATTTATTTCAATAAGACTTAGTGCTTGCTTTATTCGTTGTGTACTTCTATCCTATATCAGTTTTGAATGAATGATCTACCAATAAAAGTTTTCTAACTGAAAAAAGGAGGTTCCCCGTGGTCCCTTAATCGGGAAAATAGCGATCGATCTATCTCTAATCGACTAGCGACTCCTCGTTCCGCTCGGGTTCGTCCCTTGTGTTTGAAAGTTTATTATGGATTTCTCAGAGATGAGATATTTTCCCGCTGTGAAAAGTATTCTTTATGTTGACCCGGTAACCAGCTATCATCATACCAAATTTCATCAAAATTTGTCCCGTGATTTTCTCGTGATGCGTTCCCAGAAAGAAAGACAGACAGACAAAAAATCTAATAACTATAGATTTGGCGCTCTGTATCGATAATAATGACTATTTTAATAAGATTTTTCAAAAAATATTTAATGTACAAATTCGACTCAGTTAGAATTTTATTATATGTATAGATTAAAATGTTCTTGTTTTGTTTTTTTTTCTATCATGTAAGCATACTTTTTTACCGGAATTATAGAAATCTTTGCCCTTTACGACTAATATTTCTATGCACCAGTGACATTTCTATTAAAACCTGTACAGTATATAGGTCTTCCGAAAAACAACGAATACAAAAAGGCTAACTGAGATATACGAAGA